TATAAAGAATTCATAAGTAACTACATATCTTACATTAGGAGTGCATGCTGAAAACATTACTACTGCTGAACGTATGTGGCAAAATGTTTGACATTTACCATTCTAGAGAAACTTTCCTATAGGTGGGCAAGGAGATTATACAAGAATGTGAACTGAAGCTCTGTTTGGAAAACTGGGAAACAATCCAAATGTCCATCAACAGAGGAATGGGTCAGCTGAGGTATGTTCAAGCAATGGAATTCTATACGGTGGTTTAAGTGAATGGATAAGAGCTACATGGGTAAATATTTGAAACAATCTTATGTAAAAAAGAAGCACCTTGCTGAATGGAAAGTACAACATGCAAAATGATGTGATACATTGTTGATGAATACACACATGTTGTAACATGTATTACATATGTAGTAATATGTACTGTGTTTAAAAACATTCAAGAGGAAGATAAACACTGAATTCAGGAATAGTGGTTACCTGTAGGGAGGAAGAGAAGGAAATGAGATTGAAGGAAAGGCTTCAAATAGGCTTTCTTTCTTTCTCTTTGAGAAAGAATCTCGTTTTGTCACACTGAATAGAGTGTGGTGGCATCATAGCTCACAGCAACCTCACACTCTTGGGCTCAAGCAATTCTCTTGCTTCAGTCTCCTGAGTAGCTGGGACCGTACATGCCAGCCACAATGCCCAGGTGATTTTTAGAGATGGAGTCTCGCTCTTTTTTTGAGACAGTCTACGTCAGCCTTGATGGAGTGCTGTGGTGTCACAGCTCCTAGCAACCTCAAACTCTTGGGCTTAAGGGATTATCTTGCCTCAACCTACCAAGTGGGACTACAGGCACCCGCCACAATGCCTGGATATTTTTTGTTGCAGTTGTCAGTATCGTTTAGCTGGCCCGGGCTGGGTTCAAACCCACCAGTCTCAGTGTATGTGGCTGGTGCTATAACCACTGTGCTACGGGTACTGAGCCTGGGGTCTCACTCTTGTTCACACTGGGTCTCGAAATCTTGAGCTCAAGCAACCCACCTGCCTCGGCTTCCCAGAGTGCAAGGATTACAAGCCTGAGCCACTGTGCCCAGCCTTAGGTTTTCTTTCTTTAACATATAAAAAAAACAACAGGCCAGGCATGGTGGCTCATGCTTGTAATTCTAGCACTCTGGGAAGCCAAGGTGAGAGTGTCCTTTGAGTTCAGGAGTTTGAGACCAGCTTGACCAAGAATGACACCCTGTCTCTACTAAAAGTAGGAACAAAGCTAGGCAGGTATCATGGTGCGGCACTTGTAGTCCTAACTACTTGGAAGGCTGAGGCAAGAGGATCACTCATACCCAAGAGTTTGAGGTTGCTGTGAGCTATGATGACGCCGTGGCACTGTACCCAGGTTGACAGAGTGAGACTGTCTCAAAAAGAAAAAAAAAAAAAAGAGAGATGCAAGTAAATAAATATGACAAAAAGCTCAAAACTAGTTTCCCTGAGTTCCACAACCATTCTCACATCCCTTCTGTATCTTCCAGAGATAGAAACAACCAGGTCAAAATATTTGAATTTGTTTGGTAGAGTCCCTCTTGTACTTACATCCCACACTCAAAAGGTATCTCACCTTTTTAAACACTAATGGTAGCAAACATTACACTCTTCTGGGCTTTACTTTTTTAACAATATAACTTGAATTTTGTTACATGTAAGTACATAAAGAACTTCTTTGTTCCTTTTCACAGCTGTACAGTACTTCTTTGTGTGGATACACAAGACTTTTTTGAGCCGGTCTCCTATATATAGAATGTAGACTATTTCTGTCCTTTTACTAGAAAAAGCTTCAGTGCTATGAATACCCTCATAAACATGTCATTCTGCACACAGGTATGGACTATAATAAATAGAAGCAGAAATGCTGGATCTTTTCAAACAGCCCTCCAACAAGATTATATCAATTTACTTCCTTCTCTGACACTTTCCTATACTTACTACCTGATCAGAGGTCAATATAGTATATTATCAGACTTTTTTAATTTTTGACTTTTTTTATTTCTGAGACAGCATATCACTCTGTTGCCCAGGCTGGAGTGCTGTGGCCTAGCTCCCGGCAACTTCGAACTCCAGGGTTCAAGCCATCCTCCTGTCTCAGCCTCCTCATTAGCCGGGACTATAGACACCCACCATAATGCCTAGCTAATTTGTGTGTGTGTTAAGCCTAGCTAATTTTTCTATTTTTAAGTAGTGACAGGATCTAGCTCTTTTTCAGGCTGGTCTGGAACTCCTGGGTTCAAATGATTCTCTTACCTCAGTCTCCCAGAGTCCTAGGATTCCAGACATAAGCCACTGTGCCTGACCTATTATCAGACTTTTTGATAAGTAGATAGGGTATTTCAGTGCAATTTTAATTTGCATAATTTCCTTTTTTTTATTACCCCATTTATTATTGTTACTTTCTTTTTGGAGACAAAGTCTTACTATGTTACCCTCAGTAGAGTGCTATGACGTCACAGCTCATAGTAACGTCAAACTCTTGGGCTTAAGTGATTCTCTTGCCTCTGCCTCCCTTGTAGCTGGCACTACAGGTGCCCACTACGGCCTGGCTATTTTTTTGTTGTAGTTGTCATTGTTGTTTAGCAGGCCCTGGCTGTGTTTGAACCCGCCAGCCCCAGTGTATGTGGCTGGCACCCTAACCACTGAGCTATGGGCACCGAGCCTACCCCATTTATTATTGGCTTGTGTTGTCGGAAAAGGTAGAGCTTCTGTTGGTCTTTCAAGTCCTTCAGTCTTCTGATGGCAGACTTTACCAGCAGAAGTAGTATTGTAGGTCCAGGCAGGAACCACAGTGTTCCAACTACTGTTTTCATGCAGGAACCACAGTGCCAGATCCCCACAGCTCATCTCTTCATCTTGGTTTTGCCACAGAAGAAGCAAGTGTACTTGGCCTGCTGGCTGATTTCAATTTTCTTCATTTTCCGGAGGGAGGCATCATAGCATGTCCCATATTTACTAAGGATCCCAATCTGCTTGGTGAGTTTAGCTCAGAGAGGTGCATATTTTAATTTCTGTAAGCTGTTTGCCGTTTGTCCATTTGTATGATTTTTTTTTTTTTTAAGACGGAGCCTCAAGCTATCCCCCTGGGTAGACTGCCATGGCATCACAGCTCACAGCAACCTCCAACTCCTGGGCTCAAG